CAAATTGTGACGGTTCTAAGGACCAATTTGAAGTGGTCCATCCACCGTCGGGGATTTCATCCCCTCCCCAACATTCAGCATGCGGCCCCAGCAGAAACGCCAAGCGGGCTAGTTTGCTTACTTCCTCTCATGATCAGCGTGCTTATTAAAACCAGCGATATGGTCGTAATTAGCTTCCGACATTCAATTTCAGGAAGACATTTCGCATCAGGTGTCTGTCGTATTATTGTTTATTGAATTTTATCGGGACATGCTCACCTTAACGATCAATCTAAGCCACGAGCTTGTCCAGAATCATGCGCAAAAGAGAAGTCGTACTGCTCAGGTTTTTGACGGTTCACTCAGGTTTTCGTTCGCTGTCGCATCATTTGTCTCTTCTGCTTTCATATGTGCTCAACATTGAACGTACTCCCTGCGTTTAAGGAAATTTTGTTGCTCCTTCTTTCTCCACTTTAACTTCAAGAAATATTTTCCAATCAAATTTATAGTAAATTCAGATGGCGGGGCCACTAATGACGCGTACGGTTGCAAGGCTGACGCCCGTCACGTTATTTTTGCTATTGTTCGGGATAGCTGCCGCTATCGCCTTATCCATCGGTCTCTCCTATCATATCACTAGGAAAGCCTACGAAACCTTCCCTAAAAATGAGTAAGCTAATAATTCCTTCAGATTTTCCAGAAGTTCAAGAGCACTCAGTTCGTATAGGCTGACATGTTTTACTTCCTGTGAACTATTATATTTGTTTCAGAACAGGTGGTGGCGGCGGCGGCGGCGGTGGCGGCGGTGGTGGTGGTGGTAGCGGTGGAAGCAATACTACATCCGCAGAAGATCTACGTCTTCCGACAAATATAAGACCTTGTAAGTGTTAAGCACTTTGGAGCGGCCCACAGTTTATGCTCCTGGCGCAATGAGGTTTTGGGGGGTGGAGGTGGTGCAGTCCGTAACATAGCGTCAGATTCACGGAAATGTTCAGTTTTAGGACTAAGCTCCAAAAGAGAAGAGGGACTCCGAGGTGCGTAAGCAATTCTCATTCTCTCCCGAATTCGCCCCTTTTTGTCAGGTATAGTCCTGTGGCCGTCCTGCCTCCCCCCCCCGAGGTACATTACACCATGATCCTTATATCTATTCATAAACTGAAACCGCCTGGAATCTACAGTTTCTACGACGTACTTGTTTATTCAAAGTTCCGAGGGGAAGTGTAATATCGCTCCGGAAATAAAAGGCGAAAGTTTTTACATGGTGCTATGACGCGCGCCAGTCGTGTGCGCCACAGTATCCCTACGGGCGGAAAATTTATGTATTTTTCACGATAATACATCAAAAACAAGAGAAAACCTCGTCAAAAACGCCCCCTTTTCTCACATACTATGATCCCTCTAATTTCCACAAACACTACCCGTCCCCCCCCCCTTTTGTAATTTCTAGAAAATGATTACTTTTCCGAACCAAAATGCGATGTCCTATCTGCTCTTCTTCAAAGTCACAAAATCACAGACTCCGCCGTATTGTACGAGCAAACGGTTGACCTAAGGCCTGCACCATAGGCGGATACACGGCGCCTACCCGCAATTCATGCCCGGGTCACTATTCACTTGCCACAACCTCGAAAATGTTCGACACCTCCCCTTTTGGAGAGGCCTCGATACGACCCCTCATCGCATCAGATGGGGGTCGATTCAGTCAGTATTTTATTTCTGAGACCAGTCGAAGCACAGGCCCAAACCCCGCCTTCTTCTACCAAAAGCTGTTGTGTGGGCGGGGTATACGTATATCAACAGTTGAGGAACGACATAAGTTTTTCCACTCAAATTCCCAACAACACAGCCTAATAGTTGCTCTCTCAAATACGAAATCATCCCTTTCCATTTACTGTAACATTGGACGCTACACGCTGAAATACGACCCCTGCTCCCCCAAATGCGAACCCCCACCCCTCGTGGACTTGTCAAACGGACGCGTTGACCCTGCTTTCAAGCGTCTATTGTACCTTAGGTGGTTAGAGGTATACGAAGTTCTTGTCTTGTACTTTCGTTACTTCCTCATTTCAGTGATATACGACTTGACCATGAAAACCTATCTGCCCGGTTACGTGGATTTCCCCATCAGAGAAGAATCTCACTTTTGATGGGCAAGTGGAAATCTCCTTGGTGGTTGTTGAGCCAACCAAAAGTATCGTGCTCAATTCGAGAAACATTACTGTGATCAAAGATCAATGCGAAGTGTTCTCAGTGAGTTCTAATACCTTCATAATTTCATAAAATAAATGAAAATTCATTCTATAATTCTTGTTATTTTATATTTTAACATATTTATTGACTCTCTCTCTCTCTCTCATTACCTTTCTTATAACATTTCGTTAGTGAATAAAAATCCTCTATGCATTTATGTTTCAAATGTATTTTATTGTTGCAGTTACATGAATTATTTATTTTATTCAATTAGTCTAAGTTATTATTGAAGTCTTAGAAAATCGTGTAGAAAGGATAAAAAGGATAAAGCATTTGCCGTTGATCAATCCCTTTTTGGGATGCGGCACGCATTCTACTTCCATTTGTACATTCGTAGTGGCGTTTGAATGCGATGTGGCCTATACAATGACTTGCGGGGGCCAGCCGATGTACAAGTCAGTGTTTTTTATCCTCCCAGACAAGTCTGGTACCAATTAACCGACCCCGGAGGGATGGAAGGCTTGGTTGGCCCGGGCGACTCACGACCCAGGATTTGATCCCGGACCGCTCGCGTGGTGAGCGCGCCACTTGTCACTACACCACTTCCGCCCTCTATTATAAAACTTACTATTTAAATATTATGAAATCATCCGCTCATAAAATCTATCATTTACTTTAAATTATTAAACATTTATGAATATTAAACAATAAGAAGTAAATTCGTTTCATTATCGATTAGAATTGAAATTAATTTATTTTTAATTTTTAATCTTCTCTTATTCGAACTAAAACTTACATTATAAAACTGAGCTTGTATATATGTTATAGAATAAAATTCACAGCGTTCCATATTGCCGAGTTACCCGATGATCAGATTCCAGGAAGACAATAAAAAGCTTGATATCGAAAAAGTGCTAGAGCAGGAAAGGCTGGAGAAAGTTGAATTCGTTCTGAAAAATGGCCTGGAGAAAGATCAGAAGATCCGTCTCAAGGTTCGTATAGTTATTTACGGTTTTTTTGCCACACTTTTTGATCTCTTTGCTAATTTTGTAAGTTGTTCAGGTGAAATATACCGGGTTAATAAGCAACCAGCTTGGCGGACTTTATCGAACGAATTTATTACCACAAGCCCGATGGGACAACAAGTGCAGTCCCAATTTTTTTTTTACCTGTTTTTGATAGGATCGATTTTGGATTTGGACACAGACCACCATTTTTGCTTCACTCCTCGGTTCGTGCCTGAAAGTCTCAAAGCAAGCTATTCGTGATCATTCACTATAGGCCAGCTTTCTCAGTAGTGATTTTTGTTTGAATCAACCTTCGAAGACGGAAGTCGAAGGAATCTTTGCGGAGACGACCAGTGCATTATAAAAACTCAAATAAGTCAGCAATAAACTTACCCACACTGCTGGGGCGAATCCGCAGATCACTGCAGCCTGGAGATAGCTTTACCAGGCATGGTGCGACAGCTGAGGTCAATAAAAAACCGCGAGTAGACTTATGCCAGGACGATGGACTTCGAGGCCCTGCCGATGTGAAGCTATCATCACTGCAAGGGCTTCCGCTTTTTCGCTCGCTTCCTCTCTTTAAAGTAGCATAGCCATCACGTTTAAGCGCCGGGTAAACACGGCCAGCGCCAGTACCTTCATTAACACGATGCGTGTCATACGGTTGCGACGTCACTTGCGAATCGCGCGAATCACCAGCGGTCAATCGCAAAGTCTGGTGTGCCTCGCCGGTTCGGGCGACAAGGGCATCGATGGTTTCGATAGAAGCGGATTCAAGTTGAAAAGACAAGGCCCACTATAAATCAAAGTAGGGCGCTCAGTGAGCTGCTATGCCGCTGAGGGCATGCTCTTCGCTGCGAAACCCGCATTGCCTCACACCTAAGGGGGAGGGGCTTGCTCGCCTCTTCACTGTGTACATTTTCCTTCTTTCGAGCCTTGTCCTGTAAAACTGCTTCAAGAGGCGTGACCTATTGGTAATTGAAGCGTAAACGATCTGAGTTGCGTATACACAGTGGCCGAGCAACTGTGGTCAGCGCTATGACCTTGAAACCCTGAACACATCGCCGGGACACAAGCGTTTGCATTCTGACACTGGAAAAACCATGCTTGGTGCCCGTGTTCCCGTCGATAGAAATAACTTCAGGCATTAAAAAATTGCGTGATGTTCAAAATCAACCGAGTCTCAATGCGTTATTCAAATTCATTAAAGTACTTGTTAAATGGTTATTCCAAAATGCATAAAGACTTTAAAATCAAAATATTTTCTGGATCGTAACTAGGAATATGGCACCGATGCTTCGACTCCCTTGGGTTCTTAGACAGCATCGTACGCCTACAGAGGATTTTTCAAGGTTTGCTGCGACCACTCATATGGAGCCGTCCGACGCCCGTCGCATGGTGCCGTGCCTAGATGAGCCAGAGTACAAGGCAAATTGGACCGTGACCATGATCCATCCAAAAGGTACCACAGCAGTGTCGAATGGAATCGAGGACGGAAAACCCGTAAGTGAGACTTTTTCAATTTTTTTCCATTATATTTGACCACGACTGCACCACTGCACGGGAGAGGGACAAGATCGATTCATCAGTACGTCCACCGTAATCCACGTTGCACTGGAGCGCACTGTTGAAAATTGGAGCACGCAATCGAACCGAAGCGTGGGTGCATACGCCTTAACCATAAGCCTGGAGCCGTTCCGCATTGTTCCGTGATTACCTCAGGGTAACCCTCAGCCTCCGCCTCGCCGCACAAACGGACCGCTTACCGTTTGTGCGGCGAGGCGGACGCTGCGCGCACCTCGCTTCCACTGCGAACTTGTACAGCTGACACCCATTTTTTCATCATGGCTCTGTCGTGAGGTGCGCAGAGAACATAACAAGTGGGCACTTCGGGAACAAGTCGAAAAAATGTGAAACTGCGCGCCCCATGGCGTACATGTTTGCGGTGGAACCGATGCAACGTACAAAAGAATCGTATGGGAGGGATGAACAAAAATTATGGTAACATGGACGCGTCGCTACCAATTTCACAGAAGTCAGGCGACAGTGAGCAGAAACCTCTGGGTCAGAAAAGTGCAGGAAATTCGCACAACACTTCGCAGCTTGCCGATGGCAGTTTAAGCTTGTTATACTCGCTTTGCTATATAAAGTTGAAAAATTGGACGCACTGTGCCAAATCAGAAGCGCAGAAGCACCGCTGACTCTTCCTAGAATTGCGTACCCTCTACCGAAATTTGGTTAGCGCCTCTCATTGTCAGAAGCGGAGGGCTCAATGGGAGTGATGATGACGGCTGCAGGGTGTGCACGTTGTTGGAGGGGCTTCAAAACGCGGTCCAACCACACCCTCAGCGCACTGAGGGCTCTAGCTCACCAATGAGGTTCATTGATGTCATCAAAAAGTCGCACCGCTCTCCAGACAACGTGGTTACTGCCTTCAAGAGCAGAAGTGCCTGAGGGAGCATGCTTTACCATGTTGGACGAGAACGAATTGGACTTTTTATTTCAAAAATGTTGTCT